ACCACACACCACAGGATTGGTTGAAACACAAAACGTATTATTTACAATAATATTTATTTTTGTTCAAGATGCTATTAATTCAACATAGCTGGTTAACTTCAAACAGGGAGAGAAATCCTGACAAATACTCAAGAAATATGCTTTAAATTAGGTTGTCACGACAACTTTCATAAAACAAATTTGCAGAATATAAACTCCTGTAAAATATCTTTACAAAGCTGATCAATGAAAGATGGTGAAACACAATTCAAGTGACATGTAGAATAAGAAAATTAATCTCATTATCTCGTAACAACAGATAATTGATCTATTCTCCTGACTTCCAGCCAATTTATGGAGACAAAAACTCGTTTACGGCCAAATTAAAGTCATTTGACAGTTTTTGCACGACCTTAAGTTTTTAAAGGTAATTACATTACGTATCACAGACCAGCTGGTGCCAATGCTTTTACTTGATTGGTTATTCACTTCAGTGCAACTATCCTGTACATGACTTGCATCAAGTTAAAAGATAAATTGCTTAAGAATGTACAGCAAAGAATAGATCTTAGACTTCACAAGAAATGTGTTGATATGAAAGACATTGATGACAATATAGTGTGAAGATTTTAACCCTTCAGAGCTATTCAAAATGGGAATATTTAGCTACAGGCTCATGCCGTGTGTTAAACAACAAGAACTTGCTAATCAAGCTACAGACTTGTTAAATCTTGGTAGGAGCATATTACGTTGAACAGTCATGAAATGTAAAATAAATAATTTTGATGGATATCTATTTTCAACATATCAATTGTACGCACTCTCTTAAAGTCAGATCATGATCAAGTCAGAAACTTATTGATTTCAACATGACATTAATAAGACAAAAAACAATATCAAGATTTCGATTTCAATATTGCTTTTGCTTAAATTTAAGCATAAAATGTCATCTATTAAATGGAAACCTGTAGAATGATGCATTAATAACAAATAATAGACCTACTAGATAACATCATGCCTAAAAGGGTAATACAATTAGCACAGGAAATAATTCATTGAGAGTAGAAAGGGAGGTGCCATTTAAAAAAAAAAAAACAGCATTGTGATTAAATCCCGTCTCCCAGTGGTTCAATAACATTTTGGTCTATTAATGTTAAGTCAAAGGAGTAAAAGTAACTACATACATTTAGTTCAATTGTGCACTTCCACTGTAACATTCTGGACATTACTTTTGGCTTTAAAAACATAACGTAACACATTATTTGATCAAAACCATATTTCATGCAAGAAAGGGCTTATTTTAAGGTTAAAACATTACAGGACAAAACTATTATTATCATACCCTATATTATCAAGTCTTGAATTCCCTACTATAAACTTACCCATATTTTCCATATTTACAGTTTGGGATAAACTTTATAAAACGAAAGGTCAAGAACTAAAGATACTTCTATTAATTGGAAAATACTTCCTGTTGCACCCTGTTTAATGAGCATTAATGACTACCTTCAGATAATGGCATTATCAACAGAACACAACTGTCATTTCCTTTGACATTCTTTTACATGATAAACACTAAATTTGTTCAGAAAGTGACGTCTTACATCCGGACACGTTATCTATTGTTCTTTTATAACCAGCTATAGGACATATATTATAACAATGTATTATCATCCATCAAATGCCTGCTTGGTTGTATTTGACAGATGCCTGTAGTGTGAACACTAAATGTGGGACTGAGATTGAGTTCCAATTAATATATCGTCGGTGGGATATCAAAAGGTCGTATATCCGAATTTTCAAATTTTTCAGGAAATGCAAAAAACTCCCCAAAGACTCAAAATTAATTGAATTTTTACCAAAATTGTACCGAGTGCTCATCTTTTCAAACTTGACTTAATGAATTAAAAATCAAAAAGTATGTTAAGTCAGATTATGCACGTGCCAGACATACATCATTTTTGTTACAAAAGTCTGATATTTTGAGATATACATCCTTTTGCAGATACATGCTAAACAGCATTGTATCTCAACAAAATATTCATCAATTTGAATTTTTCGGTTGTCTAAGAACTTTTTGATTTAAAATAGTAAGTTTTTATTTTATTGTCGCTATAAATAGGATATACGTCTTTTTATTTCTTAAATATGTGCATGGAAGACGAGGTACGTCCTAACTTGTTCAAAGTAACTGGCACATTTCATGGTTCAAGGCCCAGAAAGGTAAGTACAACAGGTACATGGTTCAAGTTTCAGCAAGATAAGTCTAACAAGTACATGATGTAAGCAAAGTAAAGTAGGTTTTTGGTTCAAGGTCGAGCAAGGTAAGTATAGTAGGTGCATTGTTTAAGATCCAGCAAGGTAAGCATAAAAAGTATCTGACGAGGTAAGTACAGCAGGTACATGGTGCAGGGTCCAGCAAGATAAGTATAACCCGTAAATGTTTTAATATCCAGGAAGGAAAGCAAAACAGGTACATGGCTCAAGGTCGAGAAGGTAAGTATAATAGATACATGGTGCAAGACCTCGAAAGGTATACGGCTCTAGAGGCGTTTCATTAGCACAGTCTGTTTAATCTGACAAAATGACATAGATAAGAGCAAGTAGGATTATAATAATTCAATCAATTTATAATCAGAAACGTTTCATTAAATTTGTTACAACACAACATAGCACTATAGCTCATATTTGGTCAATTAATCATGCAAAAGACCCTCATAGAATGGGTGATAGTCCTGAGGCAAAACAGACAGCAACTGCTGAAGATGCTGGTACTTAGACGACTTTATCTTAATTGGTCCGGAGTACAATCTTGGTATTGCATCTAAAGGTGATGCAGTAGATATTTTTGACCTTCTTGGGAGATCTGAATATTCATCATTATAGTTTATTTTGTACTTTATTATTCCATCTGGAGTGTACTGTATAACTCGCAAATTAGTTACAACTGGATCACCTACTTTCGTTCCAGGTCTAATAGAATTGTAATAGCCAAGTTTGGCACAATCAGAAAAAAAGGTGTGAGACAAATAAAATACTTTGCAGGGTTGCTTGGGGCGGACAGACTTGATCAAATCAATGTAACTCTGGGGGCAGTAGATAGGTCTGTTTCTGATCTTTTGTTCAATTGTACTGTGAACACTGTCCACTTCCATCTGAGTGTGACCTTTCTCCAAATACTTCTGGACTATGGTAATATCGTTGTTGGCTGCACACTTGAGCAGGGTGTTAGACATGGTAGTGTTACGGTTTTGGTACGTACACCCGTCACTGTAAATTATGAGCGTTTTCACTTTTGGCGACATCATCCTTACATACTCGAATATGCATGAAGCAAAAGTATTGGCTGTTAGTTCACCTTCGCCTTCATACCAAAAGAAGCATGTTACATCTTTAGTAGCCAAATCGTATATCGTAAAATTGTGGCATGCCAGCTTGGTTTTATAATACATTGCTGATGCTTGTAATCGAGGTGATAATAATACAGCCTGTAAATCCATGGTAAGTACCTTGACAGATTCATCATTTTCAGCAACAAGCTTATCTTGTACCTTAGATAGCCGTGCATCAGCCTTCCGCTGGATGTGATTGTCGTATACATCTTTAGTCAGATTCTGATTCTCGAACGCACAGCAAACATCACACTGATCTTTTTTTGGTCGAAAGAGTGCCAAATTTAACTCATCAAAGACACTGTGGAATGCTTTCTTACAAAGAGCAGTACCAGCATTTGACAAACAATGATCTTTGTAAATTCTATATAGATCTTCAAATGAAACGAAGATGGGCTCTAAATATGATTTAGACGTTGATGATCTGCAGTAATGTGAAGGTAATTTGCATAAAGACTGCAGAAAATCTCCAGCTTGATCATGTTGAACTCCGGTTGTCTTCAGTACCTTTCGTTATCTCTTTGGTGCTTTAGCAGGTGATGGTATACCAGATTCTGAATGGTTTAACCAGCGGTAAAGAGCTTTCTCTCCCAAATCGAGAGTTGTAAGGAACATTTGCTTGCAAGTAGTGTAAGATTTTTCATTTAATTGCAAAGAGTAGACGAAACTTTGTTTTTTTCGGAATATTCCATCTGTGTTACCTTCTACTTTACGCTCCGCTACTTTCTTTTTGGACACTGAATGGACTACTACGCTCTGCTTTTGATGCCAATTTAAAGCCCAAAATTTATTAAACAAGGTAAGTCTATCGTCCTCAGAGAACACATCACAAAATCTTTGTTTAGACTTCTTGCAAAAATCAGTACAGCCTCGTGGACGCAGTTGCCGTCCTGGTTTTTGTACCTTTAAACTTTTTCCATTTTCAATTATAGATCCTGTGTAATCTTTTCCCTTCATACGTCGATTCATATTTACATTTCTTGTCCAAAGATCCGGATTTGCTGGTTTATTTGGCTTGAGTTTAGCAGGTGTCAAGTTTTCATCTTCAATTGTAACTTCCTCTTCTTCATTGCTGTAAGCGTCTAAAAACTCTCTCCGTTTGGGTCTGTAAGAAGGATCTGCTACAGAATCATCAAGATCTGTTAATTCATCCTCTGATAATTGGCTGTACATAGGCCGTTCTTTGTTTTCTGGAAGTGACATGCTTCTTGTGGCAGTTTCATTGGAAGGCATTATTTCATTACTTTGAAAGGTAAATCTTGGACTCCATGTATAAACAAGACTTGTATCATTTGGTACTCTTGGTTCCAATCGTCTAAATTTTAAACATTCTCCATTTTCTTGAATATCAAATATTGACTTGTTAGCATTATCTTGTTCTTGGCTAGTTGTGTATTCTATTAGGTTATCTGTCAAAACCATAGGTTCATTCTTTCTCTTCATTGAGATATCTGATTGAAGAATACTTTCAATCATTTTGAGATCTGGGTTATATTCATCTATGCAATTTGCAGCGTTAATCTCTTTTGAGTTGTCAGTCCAGATTCCAAAGGTTTCTGTTCCTGCAATTGTATCCATGCTGTTATTCATCCATTTTTCTATGGGTGCTATTGCCGTAGCTGTCCAAATGTCTTCTATCGGTGTTATTTTACTACTCTCCTTTGTTTCTGATATATTAGGCGAGTTACCATTTTCTATTATTACACGTAAGTCATTGTTTTCTCTTGTTTCAGTTAAGTCTTTGTTTTCTCTTGTTTCAGGTAAGTCTTTGTTTTCTCTTGTTTCAGGTAAGTCTTTGTTTTCTCTGGTTTCAGGCAAGTCTTTGTTTTCTCTCGTTTCAGGTAAGTCTTTGTTTTCTCTTGTTTCAGGTAAGTCTTTGTTTTCTCTGGTTGCAGGTAAGTCTTTGTTTTCTCTTGTTTCAGGCAAGTCTTTGTTTTCTCTGGTTTCAGGCAAGTCTTTGTTCCCTCTTGTTTCGGGTAAGTCTTTGGTTTCTCTTGTTTCAATTAAGTCTTTGTTTTCTCTTGTTTTAGGTAAGTCTTTGCGTTCTCTTGTTTCAGGTAGGTCTTTGTTTTCTATTATTACAGGTAAGTCTTTGTTTTCTTTTATTACAGGTAAGTCTTTGTTTTGTCTTGTTTCAGGTAAGTCTATGGTTTTTGTTTTTTTAGATGAGTCTTTGTTATTTGTTATGATGGGTGATTTTCCATTTTCGGTTATTGAATTTATTTAAGATCTGGATTTCAGGGACAACAATACAAGCTGCTGTCCTCTGGAAGGTGGTCTTTTTGACATTTTCTGCAATAAACAAGAACAAATGAAATAGAATGATGTATCCATGCAAAAAGGACGTATATCACTTGACGTTCTCGATAGCGATACTTAAACGATGATACGGTATCATAACTGTTTAAGAAGTTGGTATTTGAAATAGGCCAAAGTCGGGTGATCACAGAACAAGTAAAGCTGCTAAAATGAATGAAATAAATAGACTTAATACGTTTTTTATTCCCTTTTCTTACCTCATCAAAGTAGGCTCCTTATAACGTCAGTTGTTATTGTTGACAAAGATATACGTCTTTTTGACATACATTATTTTAAGCCAATCGATATACATCCTTTAATCATATGACCCAATATGTCACTTTTAATTGGCTTAGAGATATGGTATCTGTACCAGTCGATGCTCCTATTCATGGGGGTTACGTTAGTGCAGAAAAAGGCTTTCGCGCCAAAACCGGATATACGACCTTTTGATATCCCACCGACGATATATAATATATAAACTTACAGCAAAAAACTTGGCAAATATCTGAATTAATGTTTCTATGAAAGATTCCAGACAAAATAACCTTTCTTGGTTTCAGTTATCTCCTGATACCAACTCCTCCCTTCAGAAAAATCAGTTAAGACCAGAAAGCTGAATTATATTCCAAGTATTAATTTTGTTTTGAACAATAGTCTGGATTAGAGCAGATAAGTTGTCTGGTCAACACAATAGACTTCATTAAAACAATATTTGTTGGTAAAAGCTGTGTCTGGCTTCAACAATTCCCAAAGGCCAAACCAAACTCCATTTCCTATGGTGAAGAATTACATTACTCGTGTTAGCTTCCAGATGAATTCAAAATGGAGCAAAATATATAATTATTTTATAATTATGTAATGATGTTGTCCATGTGTTTCAAGAAATTTACACGGTGTCTTGAATCCCCCGTCGAAGGCAAAGTGCCCCACCATCCCACCCAGTCCTTTGAGACTTAATATTCGCGAATTGAAAAACATGTTTTTCTGATGCAAACTGCAATCAAAGTTGGAATGGTTTTATTATATATGACGAAACGAAACAATAAATAAATCTTGTTCTTTTTCAACATGCTTGTTGTTTAGCAATCCCAAAGTTCTTGTTGATCTCTCGTGGGGAACGTTCTTTATCAAATTTTCTCCATGCACATGTTAAAACTGACTTGTTGAGGAGCAACCATTGTATCACTAATATGGGTTTTGGCATGGTCTTATTAACTCGTATTAATCTTCAGCCCACTACACTTTGGTTTGGGGACGTGGAAATGAGATTGGTGGCATCTAAATCTGACCAATCAGATCGGTAGAACAGTAATGAGGTCATGTAAACAAAGCACAGCACTACTTGTCCGTCCGTTTGAAGAGATAAGAACACAGTTTTTCCAAGTAAATATTCCAAAGTAAGGTTTGATTTTCTCTCGGCTTCAATCCTTTAAAAATAATCTAATTCAATTCTGTAGCGTATAGATTCATTAAAATGTCACGCTTCTTTCGTTTTGTTTACGCTCGCAAACAAAGCGTCATAACGAGTGATTTGTTTCCATTGGCTGAAGTTTGCTACTATTACAGTAGGGCCAATTTTGATTTGACAATATTTTGCTATGAATACGTAATTTTTCTCACTTGTGTTACCATGGCCCCGAGGAAGTATGATGAATGGGGGTGTGGTTTGGACAAGATGAGGAGCGACATACTGGTAACGTAGGCCATAGAATCAAGAAAATTTGATAGTGTTGTTAGCCAATCCAATGTAGTAAAAATGGTAAATTGTTCAGTTCTTTCAGTACCTTAAAAGAATTCTGTTTGTGATGAAATAAGAACATTATTTTGTTTGGCTTTCAGGGAAATGTTTTTCAAAATGTCTGATAATTACTATTGTATCTAGAGACCGATTAGATTCAGGTTTGATATAACCAACTCAATATCTCAACTCAAATGTCTCGCTTGATAAATCACCATTTTGTAAGATAATCGAAACATCTACCATGTATATTAAACTCTACTTTAGAGTTTGTTATTGGAGGAGTTTCTGACCAAACAATTTAATTTGTACCTTTGAAAATATACTCTGTTGTACCAAACTGAAAACTTTGTCCTTAAGTCAGAACAAAGGTAACTTTTTCTGCTACGAAAAACTTATCATACACAAATTTGTACATAATCAAGTGCCATTCCCCTTTCTATGGTTAAAAAACCCAAACTAATTATGGCAAAAACAACTTGTAGCTGCACTGCTATAACTTGGTTGAAATATTTCTATGACTGAACTAGAAAAATTGATTTCACATACTAAATGGTAATTTGGACGAGATTGTTCTTGCCCAAAACGTTAGCTACAGTACATGTACATTGTAAACTACCAGATAGGCATAAAATCAATTGATACTCAAGCCAAACACCTTTGAACCCAATTTATCTCATGGAGTATTGATAAAGTTAGTACCAATGATTACTACTGTCAATCAGAGCACAAATTATAGTAGACTGATACCAAGTTTTTGTAAGAATGATACAGCCAACCAAGAAATATTGACTTTTTGATACTTCCCGAAAAGACTTTTTCTAAATATTCTAATCTCAAGACTTTCATGGATGTAGATTTTTTCTACTATTATAAAGCATAACTTCTGTTAAGTCATTTCCATTCATGGGCACAAACAATTTGGATTTGCTCTAAGAAACATTTATATTTGTAGATTCTTGTTTTTTCATCAAAATTGTATGGGTTAGACTTCACACAAAGTTTTCTATCCCATGTAACAAATTAATAACTAATAATTTTGAGATACAGTCAGTTGACTTCTTTTCTGACCAGATTTTTCAGTTGATGAATTGTATTTAAAGGTATTGTAATGAGGTTTTCTAGCCTTTTTATGTGTATCGGGGACATCTTTGACTTCTTTTTGGGACATTCCAATTCCTCCAATGTCTATGGTTCCTGCAATTCCAGAAAGATTTAACCGCAAATGTCATATCTCCCGCAAGAAGATTCGTAACCACTATAACACCTGACCACAATAACACACAAGATAGCAGCATTCTCACAATTTGCTTCACCAGTGCTTTATAAAACTCTTTACCACTACTCTTATATTGCTTCATTTTAACGGAATGGAATAGGTGTCATATATATTGATACTGTATTTTATCATATATACAATGATATTTAGTACTCTGATTTGCAAATATCATACAACTCTTCCATTCCATTAAAACTATGCATTATAAGACGTAGTAAAGAGTTTTAAAAGGCAACAGTGAACCAATTTTTAGTTAAAAATGTTGCCATATTGTAAGGGGAGATAACATCTATTAATATAAAAACTAGTGGTCTTGTGTTGTAAGATTAATGGTTATGAATTCTCTAGTGGGAGCTATGTCATTTCCTGTTTACTCTTTCTGGAATCACGGACGGACAGACAGACATGGGCAAAACCCCCCCATTTCATATGGGCGTATAAAAATGAATTCAATGAATCAATTGGTTGAGCTACTTGAAGACAAGCCAGAATATCATAACAATGTTATTTAGGGCATTGAAAAATGATACAAGTCTTTGAACTTAAAAAATGACGTATAATTTATATCTTATAATTTGAAGCTTGATATAGTAGAGAGTATTGATCAATACAAACTTAAACCTCTAACAATCTTCCTCTAATGACTTCATTTAACCTTTATAGTGTTAGAAATGAATAGAAAATTCCAGGACAAACTTCTAAACTACAAGCTAGTTAATTAACCTTATAAACTAACAACTGTTATATCTTGCTTTCAAACATCAACTGATTTGACCCTCAACTTGATTCTTAATAGGTCTATAAGACAGCTAGTGGAAAGCAAAATATCAACTTGGTTGAGGTACAATTTAAATGATTGCAGCTTCACCTAACTCATTGTCCTTTGTTGACATCCAGACAGCTTTGATGTTTATTTGGAAGAAGATGGTGGAGGGGTAGAATGTGATGGTTTGGTGACTGATCTTCTCTCATTTCAAACAATTTATTTGCCCGTGTCTGATCAATGCAACATGCATCTATAGCTTAAGAGCGATTGGGGATAATTCTGAATCTCATATTTGAATTGCTGTTAACCACTTATAATTTTGAATCTAATGAAGTTTTGTTTTATATGCCTTTGTAAACAATGCTTGTGGTATCAAATGTAATCCCCAGTAAAATCCACAGACCAAATGGTGCAACTTCACTCTGATACTACTTAATACATTTTAAGATTCTAGTTGATAAATATTATCTCAATTTTACAACACATTGGAGCATGTATCTAAAATTAAATAGAAATATCTGAAATATGATCACAAAAATTGTCCATTGATTGATAACCTGTAAACTGCAGGTACATCCATTCAAAATATGATCAGTGTACATGGCTCATTAAAACCCTGTCTAAGATTTTACAGATCTGCTTCCTTACAGTCATCAATCAATAGAATTATTTTAAGGAATTCTTTCAATAGAAAATTTTAACGGAAACTAGCAGTATTTATTTCAATCTGAGGCTATGAAAGTGAAGTAGTTTTGCTTGAAAAAAAGCTAGGAGTATTTATTTCTGTTAAACAAACAGACCAAATCAATACATGGCCATGTCTACAAACAAAACATCATGGAGTTTTAAATATGTTGTAGGGAAATGAAAACAAATGTTGCTAAACGATTTTAAATGATTGATTTTATCTGAAAGATGAGCCGATATGAATATGTTATGATAATGTTTGAATATTAAATGTAAACATGTTACAATATAAAATATTAAATTAAACGAATAAAATTAATGCTTTTTACGACAAAAACCAAAAACAAATCTTTTAGATTTGAAAA